TATATATATATATATAAATGTTCACCACTCCTATGGTTGCTGTGCTCTGCCCTGCTAATATAAGTCGAGTAAGTAACCTAAGGTATGTTGGGAAGTAGGATTTTAAATAATTGCTTCATTAGAAAAACCAAAACGGTGGTGGTGAAGGCCTCACCCATAAACATAATGAAAGTACAAAGAAAGACTGACAAATGTACTGCAGGAAATAATATTACGAACAGTAGTCACAGTACACCGACCCTATGACTTCTGTACACTGACCCTATGACCTCTGATACCTCTCACCCCCAAAATCACCCTCCCCTGAAATAAAAATACAAAACAATTAAAGCGCATATAAAACACAACAGATAGCAACTTTTTAGAAAATAAAACACCAAACATAATATAAAGGAACATTTTGTAAAATGCAGAAAGGGCCTGGTGGATGATGTGCACGCTTGCATCCCTTTTCCCCTCACCCAGCGGTTTTAGTGTCATCATGTTATGGGAAAGTCCTTAATGTGGACAGACAAAGGCACTTAGTGAATTTATGCTATAACAGTTTTTTTTAAATTATTAAATCAGTGCATTTGCATAAAAAGGGGAAAGTCTGTCCTTCACTGGCGAGTAATTAGGTCTCTTGAGAGGCCTTTAGGGTAATGGGTAGTAGTGAAGTCTCTCAAGGGACTGCGACTTGGAAAGGACTTCCTGGAACATTCTGGTCTCCCCACTTGACAATGAGGATGTAGTCTCCTTTGTCCTTTACTGTATAGGTCACATTGTACAATCGATTTCCCATGTGCTTCACATAGACTTCCTCACATGGTGTCTTTGGCCCATGGACACCAACCATTAGCATGTTTGTACCTGTGAGAGAGCAATGATAAAAGTTTTAGGAAAATATTCAACACTGTGATAATACTCTAAACTAAATTTGAAAAAGCTAGTTTCCATGATACTCTCCGACACTCCTCTCCTGCACATACTGCCTGCTGTCATACCCTCCACACGCTTTTTCTGGACATGCAGCCTGCTGTCACAGCCACATACCTTAGCTCACAAAATAGTGTGATTTTAAAAATACATACACATTCAGAAAGTATAACTGTTCTTTACAGCCTACGATGTTTTAATAAAAGCGACTGTATGCATTAAAAAGAAATATACACAGAATCCTTAAACATTAAATAGACAGTAATATAAATCTAAATATCATTTTACACACAATTGAATTGTGTTTCTCTCTTACCTGCTTTACTGCAGTCTACAGTAAAAGTGTTCTTCTGACCAACAAATGCTTTTGAAAGTCCAGGGCCCCTGGACACTACTTTGGAGGCATCTGATGTAAATTTAGGTACTGCCATACCATAACCTCCCACAGAAGCTGAGGATTTGGTGACTGTTTCCACCAGCACTGTAGATGTTTCATGGAGACTGTGACCACCTGATATCCGAGCACCTGTTGAAGGAAAGATGAAATGTGAGATGATATACTGACAGACTTAGTGAAAGCTACTCATCTTCTTTCATAGAGATTTTCAAAATAAACTTGCAAGAGCCAGTTTTATTAGAATTGTATTTCAACACATTATACTTTGGTGTTCTCTAACTCACCAGTCACCCTGGCCTTGAAAGGACTTCCCACTATATGTTGGGGCCCTCCATATCTGATGGAGATTAGGTAGTTTCCAGGTGCCATGGGAGTATATGAGACTTTATAGCCCTCAGGAGAATCTTGGCAATCCAACTTCACCTTGGAAGGCCCATCAATTGTCATTGACAAAGAGCCAGCCCCAGCGTTCAGGGTGCTGACTATAAATTCAGAGGGTCTCCCTGCGTAAGGAGCACAGTAGGGAAGACATGGTTAGGGCTCCTGTCGGTATTGGTAGCAAAGAACTTTTCATGGTGTTTCATTCACCACTTATGTTATAGTTGTCATTGAATGCATGGTGTTATGATGGGTAGCTTCTATGGTTGTTAAAAAGGAAGGTTATAAGAGGGCTTTTTGTTAGCTACTAATCTACACATGAAAGTTATAAGGCAGAATTGGCACAGAAATGAAAAGGCTTGAGTGTTAGAGCGCAGCTACAAAATGCATGTTACATCTTTAGCATGATTTCCTATTAAATGACTCGGTGATATGGCTGAATAAGCCAAGGTTCTTAAACAAACAAAAGACTGTAACATGAGTTCGTTTTATAGACTTACCTGTGACTCCACCTTCAAGGCCTTGTCCATATGCTGTAACAAGACCTGGATCACCAGCCTGACTTTGCTCTCCTACACGAATCTTGAAAGGACTGCCAGGGATATGACGCCCATTAAATTTCACATCAATAGAGTGCACTCCATTTTCATGAGGAATGAAACGGATTGAGTATTTATCTAAGGTAGAATAGAAAACACATTGTGGTCATGCAAATGAAAATATAAAAAGGTAATGTTGCATTTTTGAGTAACTTTACGTACCACTATCCACCTCAGACACGTAACACTCTTCCACCACCCCAGATGGTGTGTGCACTTTGGCCTCAATTACTCCACGAGCTCCATTCAACTGCACTGCAAATGAAGCTGGTTGGTTTACCTTCAGTCCTGTCTCCTGTAAGATAGCATAGGTTATTAAAAATAGAGTAATAGGTGCAGCACAGTTCAAATATGAAGATGTATGAAGATAATGTTTTGATAAGTAATTCTAGCATTTAAATATATTATTTTAAAAGATATACAGTATATTGTACAAAGCATTAACTACATAAAGCAAGTCATAGGAAAAGTTTGTTTGGAGCTTTCTACCTGTAGACTGGTGACAGTTAATCTGCGGGCATCATCGGAACGTGAGGCCACTGGTACCACAAAGGGACTGTCAGGGATGTGTTCATCATTAAATTTAATGGACACCTCATAGTCACCTGGGTAACAATATAAGGAATAATATTAATTAGGACATCTACTTTCACTGCCTATGGAATTTGAAGTGTTAAATACCACTTAACAAAATGCAATACTGCTTACTGATAAAGCCAAATTTGCATAAGGAACTATAAGATTACACATTTGCACAAGTTATCATGCAATGTATTTAGTAAATGCTTTTATAATACTAGGACCCTAAAGTTGTTACTTGACTTACAAAAATGTATGTACTCACCGGCTTCCTGCACAATGTAAGAGACACCACAAGACCCATCCTTGCGATCCTCAAAAGAGATCTCTGCTTTACTTGGACCTTCTACCGCAATGGACAAACCTCCAGCCCCAGCTTCTCGTGTCCATATGCTGAACTCAGCTGTGGGGATTAAAAGTGTTAAATCACCAGAAACATGCAACATATTTAAGAGCTTTGTTTATTGTGTTTATGCTTGTGTTTATTGTCACTACTCCTTACCTGCAACACCTGCAACTCCCCTTTCCAAACCAGTGCCTCCAGCCCTGACCTTGTGGGCTCCACCTTCACCCATGGGCCCAACTGTAAACTGGAAAGGACTGCCTGGGACATGTTGACCTCTATACTTGACGCTAACGGTGTGAGCGCCCATCTCCTGTGGCACAAAGCGCACACTGTATGTGCTATCTTCACCATCAATAATCTCAGCATCTGCTGTCTTTCCAGAGGGACTAGTCACTTGAGCTGTCATATCCTGGGATCCTGATTCACCTGGAAGATAAAATATTTTGATTATAAAGTCCTTCTTTCATACAATTTTTGTTTAAAATTGTTGTAGAGAATTCTGCTATTACCTTCTTGTCGTGTAATACCGCCAAAAGAGCCCAGACTCTCCCGGCCCAGGAAGTCACCAAAGACATTGTGGAAAGGATCACCGCCAACCTGTGTAGATTCCTCCACACGTACTTCTCTTTTTGTTTCACCTCCCCGAGTCTTACTGATCTCGGTACGTTCAGTACGTGTGTATGTGTGACTGCTGCGTGTGAAGGTTCGAGTGAGGCGTTCTTGGGCTGAGACCATCTGGAACCAGTTGCCTTTAGAGAAAGAGACAACAAATAATCAATTTAGTGAAGACAATATATACACTCTTCATTAATTTGCTTTCAAGTATAAATTGTTGTCTCAATTAGAATTAGCATGTTTTTTTTTTGTGTGTGTGTATGCAAAATCACTCATATGGGGTTTTTTTTCATATTAAAGAGTTTGAAGACACGCAAACTTGAAATCTGCCCTACTGGTAACTGGTTTCATTGGTAGTATGTCTATATACCTGGAATCTTCAGATTGAGGTCACATGTGCTGCCAATGCTTGCAATGGATGGGGCCTGGCGTCTTCTCGTAATGCTTTCCTTTAAACGTCCTTCTCCTGTAACCTTTACCATAAATGGGCTTCCTGTAAATTGAAGATTTAAGATTTAAGGATTCTGAACTCCATGCAAAAATATTTGTCAGTTGACTTTTAAGATTTAATGAACCACAAAAAAAATATAATAAAATGTGTCTGCAGAAATTCAGCTAATCACTGTAATAAAACCATTAGTGAACTGAAAAAAAGTTTTCGATAATGTAAATGATCAAATAGCACATAAAAATAAAAATGTCACAACTAACGCTTAGTAAATTAGTAAAAAATAAGTTTGGATATTCCAGGTATGTGAGGGTTTATAATTATTGTATCTTTTTAGCCGATTGTGCACTCCTAATATTTAAAAGAAACTAAATTCTCCTGCTCTATGTAACTATGTGGTATTAACAGGAAGTAGTCATAGCTATTGCTACCAGACCCATGGCCAGTTTGGTCCCTCCTAAAAACTTGATTTTTCCCCCTACCAATGGAAGCTCCAATAGGATGCATTTAAATTAGACTTTCACGCTCCTCCTTTTTCATACTGTGTGAAGCATTAATATTGAGATGATGTCATGTGGCCCAGATTCACATTTACGGCAAAGCGGGGCATAGCTTCAGTGTAACATGTTACTGAGATATAAAAAATGTTATGATTTATGTATGTACCAATGCACACTCACCTGGTACATGCTTTTCTGCAAACTTGATATTTATAATGTATGTGCCAGGCTCAGTCGGACAATAAGACACTTTGCATGTTCCATCTTCCACATCCTCACAGTTTATATCCACTTTGCTTGGACCTTCAATGGATAAACCTAAACCTCCATACCCTAGTAATGAGAGTCACATGTAGTCACCAGAAGCAGATAAGTAGCTGAAATGAGGTAGTAATAAAACAAGTATGTATTTATACAAATGTATTTGTACCTGCATTCCTGGTATCCACTATGAATTCAGACACCTCAAAAGTGATACCCTCAAGCAATCCTTTTCCTGACACTTTCACCCTACTTGCATCTCCAATCTCAGACTGTCCAACAATTATCTTGAATGGGCTGTTAGTGACATGTTTTCCATTCTTCTTCACGCTCACTACGTGCTCTCCTACTTCTTTTGGAGTGAAGGAAATTCCTGCAGTAGAAGTGAACAAGTACTTGAAGGTGATTACCCAATATATAAAATGTACAATGCTGAATGTGTAATGTTACTGAAAATGTATCTTTAGCTGCAAGAATTAAGATAAGGTCAATGTAGGATTCCAGTGGAACAAATGCAGTTACTTAAGTTGTAAGACTTAAAATTGAATCTTAGTTTCTCTCTATGTTCATTTACCAATGTGCCTGTTTGGCAGCCTCTTAAGTAAACATGGCTCTTCAAGACCAGATGAAGCCCTGATACTGGCCGTCAGCTGGCTCAGATCTGTCTCTGTGATCTTGAGGGATACATCTGTTGAAGTCCCCACATTCAGTTGAGAAGTCCTCATGGAATCATCACCTATTAATATAAAAAACAACATTAATGAACTCCCCAATTTGTGTTTATTGAAATACTACATTTTATTTTGATTAGAAAATTTTAAAACTATAAATGATAAGGAAGCAATCTTTATTTTTTACCATGTGATGAAAATTTTATAAATGCACTATGTTCTAAGGCCTACAACCTTTTTTAAATGCACTCATCTCCTCATTAACTTACCAGTTATCTTAGCTGTAAAAGGACTGCCTGCAATATGCTTGTCATCAAAGCGCACAATTATGTTGTAGTCTCCAGGGGCTGTGGGCATGTAAGACACAGTGCAGGTACCATCCTTATTGTCTTTGCAGGTGATCTCAGCCTTTGAGGGACCCTCCACAGCCAGTGATAAGCCACCTGTTAAATGACTTTCAGTTATTTTGTTCTTCATCAAATGGTAAATTCTGATAACATAAGGTCACAAAATTCAAGAAAAAAAAAAGCACACAGTAAAAACATACCTTCTCCAGCATCCTTAGTGATAATAGTGAAAGTGGCTGGCTTGTTTACCATTCCATGACTAAGCCCTGGTCCATAAGCACTCACATGTCTGCTGTTAATGGCATCTACATAAAACTGCAGTGGGCTGCCTGAAATTAGAATGACAATTTATAACATTACTATCATTTCCAGTTTGGCAAAATGTTCCAAATGTGGCCTTAATATCATTAACATGGTGGAGTTTACTGAAGTGACTAGTCACACAATTTATTGTGTACAGATTTTCAAATCCCTTAGTAGATCAGCCCAGCAATAGTGCCCATGCATATGTGCATTATTTACCAGCCATAATGAAATACTCCATATTACTGTAATATTAATATTGTTATTGAAATGACCTAACGTTTTCTACGGTATCAAAGAGAATAAAGACGTGCATGGGCTATATCATTAAAATTACAAAATACACAAATATGTGATTGTAAAGTGAGACCCTGCCAAGAAGAGATAACAATCTAAAACTAAAACACCTTGCAATTTAAAAATAAAAAATAAATTTCCTGAAGGCTATCATCTTTATATCAGAGTTACACACATACTTTATTAGTCATACATGAATAAGTTACCTGGAATGTGATTTCCATCATACTTTATGTCCATCTCATGTAATCCTTTCTCCACTGGAGCAAATTTGACAGTAACGGTTCCATCCTTGTTATCAGTAATGTTGGGCCGAGCAGTCTTGCCAGAAGGCATACGGACTTCCCCTACACTCAGGGAGAAAAGAAAGACAACCCATTAGTATAGCATAACACATAAACACCCAAGAACAACTCATATGTTATATGTAGATCAGTAAACATACATGTACATGTAAATGTACAGTATGTACCTTCTGCCATGAAAAGTATAAAGAAAAATAATGCCTTTTGTACTCATTTAAATCTAATAGTAATTTGGTGGTGTCACAGATGATTAATTTCACAAATTCAAATGTAACGTCATCATCTATGAACTGCTTGTAAAGATCAAAATATTATAAATGGTCATGAGTATTTTGTAAGGAGTTTTGTGCTGAATACTCCAGTCCAGGTCAAATGGATCTGCAATTTTCAATGTGCAGTTTCATTGTACTGAGAATACAGGATATGGGAGTATACAGTATATTGCCCTATATGGGGCGGTTGAGAGTGCTCTACTGCATGAACCAAAGCTGAGTTGTGAAGAACCCATTGCTGGACATAAGCAGTAGTTTAAATTTGCATTCCTTAGTGGCATAACAGTTAAGAAAATGCCAGGGTGTAAAAGGCCCCAGGGTGTGCTGTACTCATAGTACTGTACCTGTAATTTCTCCTTTCTGCACAGTGAAAGGAATGACCAGGTTGAATGGCCTGAGCATGGTGTCCAAATTATCCACTGGAGCAACTGGCTCTTCAGTAGCCTATAAAGGTCAGAAAAGTACTAGAAGTTAGCTAAACAATAAAGACATAAAAGTGAATCAATGCCAAAGTATAAAGACGTTACATCACGTACATCAGAAGGAGACTATTACTGTATGAGTAAATGGAAAAGGAAAGAAAAGATAACTATTTTCATTGCAAATTAAACAGTTAAATCTGGACAGCTGAAAACATATGTTGGAAAAAAATATTGAGTAATAAAAGTCAGCAGCATTCTGATGATAAACATAAAAAGATTAGTAAAAGAGCAATGTAAAGTGAGGAGTAATGTTGTCTGTAAGTCTTCATATTACATTAGGGAGTTATATCCCTTCCCGTGTCTTATTCCTCCTAGATCATCAGAATGGGAGATCCAGTGCTAAACAGGTTGGTCATAAAGTAAGCTCCCTGAACCAAACAGGATTATGTTAAAACTGCAGATAGTTCAGCCAACTGTATTTTTTATGTGTTGCTAATTTTGCATTGCTGTGAAAAGTAACATTTCACTTGAACCAAGTATATTTTATACAGAGGCTAATTGTATTTTAAATATACGAGTACTGGGTTTTAATAGGGTATAGAAGAAGCAGTAAGATCAGCTGCATAGAGGAAATGAAATAATGTGCAGAGTTCAGAGTTGTAGAGTAACAGGGCAGCATAATTGCAGGGATATCTTTGTTTTATACCCAATGAGTTGGATAGCCAGGAAGGTGTGCAGCGTAGGGCTGATGTAGCTGCACAGTGTCGCATGGTTCCTCTATGATGGGAATGGTGTCACAAGCCTGGCAGAAGGGAGGGAAGGCATTAAATACATAAAAGGGAACAGACTGATTACATGGGGAGTGCTGTATTCCAGATAGTTTCTGATTTTGTATTGGAAACTTACCACCACATGGAAGGGACTGTTGGGAATCTGTTCCCCACCAAAGCGGATGGTAATCACATACTTTCCAGGTTCAGGTGCTGTATAGTAGATATCAAAAGTGCCATCTTGATTTTCCACCACATCCACATCAAGCTCTGCTCCATCAGGTGTGGATACCTTGCAGGTCACTTTTCCCTTTCCTGCAGCTTTAGCATCTACTGTGATGACAGTTTCTTCTCCGATCTGAATGGTGGGTCCAAGACAGGCTCCTAATGGCCAAGAGGAGGGATGTTATTTGCAAGTCAGGAGCTACTGAAGTGTTAATATTTAAGGTACAGCTCACCTGATCCATGTCCCCCAATAGACACTGTGGAAACAAAAGAGAATACAACATTTATATTGGAAACTGTAGATGTAAAAATTTAATCCTCAGATCACACAGCTAAAAAATAGCCAATACCACCACTCACCTGTCACTAAACACTTGCTGGCATCTCCAGTGGGTACTGCAAGAATACGGAAAGGGGAGTAGGGAATTTCATCTCCACCATACTTAATCGTAATAGTGTATCTTCCTGCCATGTCAGGTACATAGGATACTGTGTAGGTACCATCACCATTTCCACGAATATTGGCTTTCTTTGGCTTTCCTTCTGGGTCCTTAGAGATAAAAAAAAAGCATCCTGATATTAGTGTGATCAAAGCTTCTGAATAATATTTGCTTTGTAAACCCGTATTAGTCTTTAAATCGCTCATTCTGATTTATAAAACCTGCAGCACAAGGAAAATAGGGCCATTGCTAATGTTTTCTTTTTTCTGTTATCTTCTGTATAAAAGTCAATCATAGAGTCTTGATAGGCAGTTCCACTTTTTTATATTATCTTTTTATAAGCCCTATCATGCGAAAATCTAGCAAGTGCATATAGTTTCCCAAGGCCATTCATAAAATTAAAATATATTGTACCAGCTTTGTAATTAATCAGTTATCATAACCTTCCCAACCAAGGTCACCAAAACTGTAACTGGCTTATGCAGCAAAGAAGTATGAATAGCAACGGTACTGTGCAGAGTGAAATTATCCATTTCACGGAACCAGGTTCCAGTTTAGTGAAATTAATTTAGTAAAAGCGTATTATTGATTGCTTGTTCAGGCTTACTGTGCTTTGCTCTTTGCCTTACTGAATAAAACAAGTCAGTGTCTCTCCAACTTTTCCAGTCATGTCCTAAAGATGGCAAGGTACGCTTTCTGTCAGTAAAATATCATATGACAAAGCTGTGTGACTCATTAATGCCTGTGTGAATATTTTACCCTTGCCAGATGGTGACAGTTTGCTGAGGATTAATGCTTATACTGGGTTCCAGCTTCTCCATTACATTCCCACCTATTTAATTTAAACCATCAGTATTTCTCTGATTTAGTTGTATATGTCAAATATGACACCACCAAAACCACTCAAAATGTATGAGTTAGTTTGGCATACAGAAAGTATAACAAACAAAATATTCACTTGAAATGTAAAGAGTAGAAGAGGAAAATTTAAATATTCCTGTAAAATGAATTTAGGTGAAAGTGGATCTTTAACTTATGGAGCAAGATCACATTGCACAGCAGACTGAGACCGTGCAGAAATAACCTTTAGTTTTTAAAATTACAAATTGTATACAAAGTATAAGCAGAGTATACAGAGTATACAATTGTATACAAAGTAAAAGCAAAGTATTAGCAGTAGAAAATCAGCTATACTAAATGTTTTTATTTGAAACCCCAATTCTAGCAGAAAGCTGTGCAAAAGCTGTATGAAGTCAACAGTTATAATGCTTCCCCATGCCTAACGTTCGAGATCATTTATTTTACATGGCTGCATCTAGAGTGAACTTTGCAATTAAATAGTAATATTTCATATACACTGATGGATTTACTAAAATATATAACATTATCTCATACAATAACAGTTATGGCGTATTTTGTTACATTTATGTATTCTGTGTATTTACCTAATACTAATACATAACTCACCAAAACAATGTCTCCATTCTGCCACTAGATGGTGATTTTCTTCCTGTTCTCACCAAACCCTAAATATGAATGAGCTCATTCTAACGGGATGTACAAATCTTTCAGCTGCTCGAGAAGCATACTAGGGGTCATTTGTTTTTATAAATATACCATATGGACACGGCTAATGTTTCTAGATAAGCAGAGGTTTTAACCAGCTCATGGCAAAAAAGAAGGTTTATTGTGTAAATGTAAATAGTTGATACTCTGAAAGCATACATTGTACATATGTAGTTCTGGTAAAAGTAAAAGTTTGCTTTTGTTGAGGTTACATACAAAGTTAGTCAAGTAATCATGTTGTTGCTTTCGGATGGGCTGTATACATAGCAGTAAGATGTCCTTACCAGAATCTGAACAGTAAGTAGTCCCTCGCCTGCATCCCGAGCATCAATGGTGAATTCCACAGGTAAGCTGGCTGGTATACCTGCTGAGTTGAGACCTGGACCGCTAGCACGTACTTTGCTTGCATCGTGAGTTGGCAGAACTTTGATTTTAAAGGGGCTATAAATTAAAATTGATTTAGTTGTATCTCCTACACCATTTCTTTTACAGTGTTATTAAACACAGGCTCAGGAATTAGGCTATTCTTACCTTCTAGGTACCTCCTGGTCTGCATATCTAATAGATACAGTGTATGGTCCATCTGTAGCTGGGGTGTAGTTTACTGTGTGAGTTCCATCACCGTTGTCTCTTACATCAACTGGCTCTGCAAGACCTACAGCAAGAGACATAAATGAATCCTTTTTTTCTGCAAAAGTCTTATTTTATCATATATACACAAACATATATAATTTTTTTTGTGTTCATTACCTGATGGTCCTTGCACCAACACTTCTAATGGTGCAAGTCCAGCCTTGCTACAGTCTACAGTAAAGGTCTGTGGGACATGTGCTCTCACACCAGCTCCCAAACCAGGACCTGAACACTTCACTTTGCTAGGATCCACAACTTCCTTCACTGGCACACGGAAAGGGCTTCCTGCAAAAGTCAAAAGACTGGCTATTACTCAAGTCCACATTGTGTTGCCTGTGTATGCATATAACTAACAAGCTACCTATACAATGCAATAGAAGCAGGCAAGTTATAGTACCTGGGATTGGTCGCCCACCAAATGTAATGTTGACATCATATTCTCCTGGGGTGAAAGGGATGTACTCTACACTACAGCTGCCATCCTTATTGTCCTTACATGACATTTTTGCTTCAGATGGGCCTTCAATTGCAAGGCCAAGACCCCCAGTGCCAGCACCCCTGAGCAATACAAGAAAAATATTGTTAATAGGGAAGTCTTCAGAAAATATTCAAAATGCAGGGCACAGGAAACTGTACATTACAGTATGACTGATATTTATTCATGCTCACCTGGTCTCAACTGTGAACCGATTGGACTTGTTGAGCAGTCCACCTTCTAGCCCTGGACCATATGCTCGCACGCGGGATGGATCACAGCCCTCTGTGACACCAACACGAAATGGGCTCTTAGGCACAGGTACATCATTATATAAAACTTCTACCAATTGAATCCCTGTCATAAAAAAGAGAAGACTGTAAAAAATGCCCATTAAGGACAACTGGTAGTATTTTTATGAGACACATTGTTGCACATCTACCATATTGTTGGTTTTAGTACTATTCACAAACCTCTTAAGCATTGACTAGGAGAGGCCACAGATAAAAGACTGTAGTGAATAATCTGCAGTAGCATGGACAGGCATTTTGGCTTGATCCCAGATTGCCTCCAATATGCTGAAGGCTCTTTGTTTACTGCACATTTATTAATAACAATATCTCATAAACTGCAGTAATTTGTCATTTAGTAAAGTTAACTACCATTTAATGTAAGTAGGCAAAACACACTAAAAGTCATTTGTAATTAAGGGTTATCACTTTTTTTTCACTGAAGCATACATAACACAAGGAAGTCAAAGTTACATTTGTAAACTGGATTAATAATGGGATGATCGGTTTGCAGTTGACTATGGGTTGGGGGGTTGGGCAAAGGTTGATATTACAGCATTACAAAGCTAGTGATACATATGCCTGGATCTTACCATCTTCATACGCTGTATACTGCACATGATAGGTTCCATCTCCATTGTCAGAGATAAAGCTTTCGGTGACAGCACCTGAAGGACTGATGATACGAGTGGTGACATGGCTGCCACCTGTCTTGGTTAGGGAGCGAGCATCAACAGTAAACTCTGTGGCGACTTCACGCAGAACACCTAAAACAGGGGAAGGAAATAAGATTACATCAGATTAACCATGCACATATCTTGCATAATTGTAAAAATACTGTTCATATTACTATATGTACAAACATAGTTTATTAGATATTGCTGAGCTTAAAATAATGAATACCAAAATGTATTAGTAGTAGTAAAACAGCAGTGTGTGTGTTGATTTGAGTTTAGAATGTAATAATAGTGCTAGGTCATCCTTCTTACTAACAAATTCTTAGCAAACCAATATATTCTTCTTAAAGGTTCAGCTCACAGTGAATATAGCAAACACTATACGTAATTTTTAGGGAAGATCATTAAATACATTGAGCAAATATATATTTTACTATTTGATTTCCTCTAATCACTTACCTCTGGGTTCTACTCCTGGACCAAACACCTTTACTCCACTGGTATCCACTGCTGGCTCAACATTTACACGGACAGGGAATTTAGGTACTGCGTGTCCTCCATATTTAATTGTGATTGTGTAAGCCCCAGGACAAGATGGGATGTAGGTAATACTATAGGTCCCATCGCTATTATTTTGGATCAGCACTTCAGCCTTTGCACCGGAATCTGAGAGAATCTCAATGGTGAGTTCAGCATCACCAGCTTTTGAGCAGTCCACAGTGAATGTGGCCACTTCTCCGGCTTTCCCTCTTTCTAAGCCAGGTCCACTGGCTGTCACTTTGCTGGGATCAAACACAGGTCGAATATCAGCCTTGAAAGGTGAACCAGGAATGTGGGCATCTGCAAATAAGATGTTGATAGAATATTCCCCTGGTTCTGTGGGAAGGTAGGATACTGAACAGGAGCCATCTCCATTATCTTGGCACTCAATCTTGGCCTCGCATGGTCCTTCAACAGTTAGACCAAGACCTCCAGTACCAGCTCCTTTGGTGTCAATTGCAAATGGTGCTGGCTTGCCCACAAACCCACCCTTGAGGCCTGGTCCATAAGCACGAACCTGTGAAAGACATAAAATATATTTTGATAGCATAATTAATAATATATTATGTTAATAAAAGCATTAAAATCAGAAATGCTATATATTATTACTAGGATGGCCTTAGTGGAAATTAATATAAATTTTTTTTTTACATTTAGTGCAAGATTAGAAATGAAAGAAAAAAGTTACACTCATGATATTTTTGTAAATATTCGCAGGATGCTATACATGTTCTGTAACTAATACAGAAATCCTTTAAATGTGTATATTGTGTGCTCTGCAATTCAGTCAGAAATAAAATAATTTAGCAAACATATACAGTGTGTCTTCCAAAATTCAAACCTGTAAGCGGTGTTAGCATTGCAGCCACATCTGGATATTAATAGTAAGACTAAAAAGGATTTGTTGCTGATATCATTACCTCCTCCCCACTCTCTTCAGTTAAGGCAATGGAACTCCCCAGACATACGAGAATACTTATGGGAAGTTAATAAAACAGACTGATCTAGACATGTCTATTTATTTTCCACAAAAGCCAATATAGCACCATGTGCTTCATATTTCTTTACCTCTTTTTGGTATGTATTGGTAGAGAGGAAAGTCCTTTACTGAGGTCCAAATGAGAAGTTATGTCTGTGAACATCGGGCTGTATTTAAAGCTTTGCTGCTATGAACTTCACACATAGATCAATGAGATCATCTGTGCATTAGTGTGACTGGACAGCTCACTCATTCTGTCCCACAGCAACTGACACTTGGCAGTTGTCTTAATTCTGCTGTGTTGCTCATTTTCACTTTTCTGCCAAAATGCATATTATATATGAAAAGCAGTGAATAAGAAACGGTGAGATGTATATCCTTTATTGCTAAATGTATTATTTTTTTCTCTGCAGCCGGTTTGTGGCTCTAAGCTATAGGCTTATGTAAACAGAGATATGTATCCCCCTCCTCTCTGAATGATCTGGCCTGACATTAACCCCTCATCTTGCAAAAACAACAATGAGAAACACATGGATGAAAAACATTGGTGTGCCAGGACTAAGGAAGACATAGAGCAGGGGTAGAAGGATAAACAAAGAATCTGAAAGTTCCTCTTAGGTAATGCAAAGATATAAAGGAGAAGAGTAACATAGACTGTATAATGTGAAAAAGAGCAGAACCTAAATAAACTAAGATTGATTGTAACAGAAAATGAATGCTTTGATTGCAATATGAACTGAAAAATTAGTCATAGAAGGTTTAAGCATGTAAGAATGAAGGAAAGCAGTAGCAGATAATAAAGGAATAAAGCACTGAATTGAAGATTCCTGTCTTTACTTACCTTGGAAGGATCGGGAGGCATGACAGCCTCCACTGTGAATGGGCTTCCTGGCACAGGATGGCCATCATAGGTAATGTCAACCTTGTATGGTCCCTCCTCAGGAGGCATGTATTTTACAGTATGAATCTCGCTAGTGACACCAGTTTCCACCTTGCAAGGAATTGGACGCCGTGATGGAGATGTAATCTTTACATCAACTATTCCTTGACCTCCTGCTCCACTGGTATTAATGGTAAACTCTTGATCCTTCCCAACATCCACCTCTGAATAAGAAAATATATTTGATGTTCAGGAAATAGGTAAACATGGGTTAAAGTCTAACATAACTATTCAGTCACATATATTATTGAACTGAAAAACATGCGGCTACTCACTGTTGTTGAGCCCTTGTACTTTAACTTTGCCCAGGTCAAGAGGAGGTGCCACAGTAACAATAAATGGACTCTTAGGTATGGGATCTCCTCCATAGGTGACTGATACGGTTATATTACCCTGTGAAACGGTAAAGAACATGATTGTGCTATCCAGCCAGGGTTTAAGATTATAATGTGCAATGTAGGTAAAATAGGAATACCACTGACTTAAACAAACCATTATAAGTAATGCAGGAACATTTAACATTTAAATTATAGATGATAAACATACCTGTTGAATGGCTGTATACTTCACAGTGAATGAATAGTCATGGTTATCAATTATTTCAAAATCTTGCACAACTTCACCCTTTATGGTCCCAGTGAATTGAACATCCAATTTGGCTTTTCCAGCACCCTTAGTGTATACAGTGAAGTGAGTGGGCTTTCCGACCTCCACACCTACATCGTATTAAATCAAGAGCACAGTTATTAGCAGTAACTACTTCCTTTATAAGGCAACAGGTATTGATAGTCACTACTTCCTTTACTACTTACATCACAAAGTAGGCAATATACAGTACTTCTAAAATACTTAAAAGAGGTATTGCCTGAGCTGACTTCATAAGTATTGAATATTTTTCACAACATAAAAATATGAATAGATCTTGTATTTTTACACTGTAATCATGGAACCTAGGAACACATTAATGATCTAAAAACTAATCAAAACAAACCAGAAAAAATGACAATGGAAATATCATCCAAGTTTAGAAAAAACAATTTCCTAGCAATACATTCTTTTTAATTGACTGATTCCTTGGGAATCTTAGTAGTCTCACCTGTGCGGTTAAGCCCTGGGCCTTCTGCTCGTACCTTGCTGGCATCATGAGATGGATCTACCTTAACCCGGAAGGGGCTGATTGGTATTTCCTAGTAAAAAAAAAAGTAAAAGGATATGTGTAAAAAATAAAATGAACCTGGAACATAATTTTCAGGAGGAAGAGAACGTGTATCTTCAAATGTGTTTGCATGAGAAAGTTCTTATGAAGTCCACCTATTAGATAAAAAAGCAATATTTATATTTTGTATTCCAGTGATGTACAGTTTGTTATTACCTGGTCAGCGAATAACACCATTATGGTATATCTTCCAGCTCCAGGGGGTGTGTATTTCACAGTGAAAGTGTCATTATCGTTTTTGATGATGTCAAAGTCAATATCGGCTTCAGCTGGTGCCACCACACCAGGTGCACACTTAATGCCAATGCTGACATCACCTGTGAAAAGATATGGTCAGTAGTCTGAATGATATTAATACCGATTCCAAGAAATACCACTTTCCAAGTCAGTCTTACCTTGTCCTGCCTCACTGCAATCAACAGTGAAGTAAGTTGGCTCATTAGCTTTTAGACCTGTCTTTTCTACTCCAGGTCCATAAACTTTAACTTTGTTAGGGTGGCTGCCCTCACCCACTGACACCTAAAATAAGTAATAAGCATTATAAGCACATCTATGTATTCCTGTAGAAAATATACTCATATATGAAAAAATGCATCAAAATACATATAGATTACTATTGGTACCTCAACATTTGGTAGTTGCTCAATAGTGTTTCTGTATAAAAATTGTGCAGAACGACTAGCTCAGCATTCTGCTGATCCCAATTGCAACTCACCCGGTAAGGGCTATTGGGGATATTAACTCCTCCCCATGAGATGATGATAGTGTGTTTGATTGGCTTCATTGGTACATAAACACACACATAAGTATTATCTCCATTGTCTTTAATCTTGATGTCAATTGGTGTTCCCTCTGCATCCTAAGAGAAAACATGAGAAAAAGTTACAGACAGGTATATTTTATAAAAGAAGTCAATGCTCACATATTATACAGGTTCCATATACCTTCATGTTAAAAGACAAGAACATCCAAACATAAAATCAACTCAATAATGACAAAGCGGAACTATGAGAACTCCCAGCGTGGTACCATTCAGCTCATACAATATAAACTGTATATGTACCTGTGCATAGATCTTCAGTTCAGCTGTGCCAGCAGCACGGGCATCAATGGTAAATTCAGCAGGGTGTTGTACTATGCAGCCAGTGGGTTCCAGACCTGGACCATATGCCTTAACCTAGGAAATGGTGAGAAATAGGTAATATAAGCACCATTATATGCAAAGGTTTAAAGCTTCATTTATTTTGTGCATACTTGAACTTCGACCCCCCC